ATCTCTTGGCCTTGACTTACACAGTGTTTTCTTTGGGGTCGGGACAAGGGGATTAAAGGAGACCAGATGCCAGCAGAAAACCCTCAGTAGCCGCCTCGGCGGAACCCAGCCGTGACCCTGCGGCCCACATCCTCTGTCCTTAATGTGGGTGTTTGCTGAAGACCTGCTGTCCACATTCCAGTAGACACGGGCCACTTCCAGCTCCCAGAGGTCCTGGGAGACAAGCAGCCACGTCACAGGAAGCATTTGGACTCAGTCTGGGAAATAGATGAGAGTCGAGTGGGCAGGCGTGAGCAGGGGCAACGGCCCCGACCCCTTGGCCACAGAAATGAACCTATTGGACGTGAGCACTGTGCTGTTTGGATTGTCTGCAGTACAAGAAGGAAATAGCATTTCCCTTTGATTTTAAGCAAAGAAGGTGCGGGGGGTGGGGGGTCCCGGGGGACTCAGTCAGTTAAGCGTCCGACTCTTGATACCAGCTCAGGTCATGATCTCATGGTTCATGAGATCCAGCCCCTCATGAGATCTAGCGCTGTCAGCACAGAGCCCGCCTGAGATTTTCTCTCTCCTTCTCTCTCTCTGTCCCTTCCCCCACCCCTCAAACTAAATTAAAAAAAAAAAAAAATATATATATATATATATATATATGCAAAAAAGGTGGTTGCAACCAAGCTGGGGGTGGGGATGTCAGCATTTGCTTACCTACATAGTGCGAGATTAGGTGGCCCCCGGCCCTTATAAAATGCAGATAGTCCTCAAAGTGTGGAATAAGCAGGTGAAGCAACCTTAGTGAGCACCTAGGCCACCACCCTAATGTAACACAAGGACGCTGAGACCCTGAGACCCTAACTGGCAGCTGTTCGGGGGCAGAGCTGGGGCTGACGCCCGGGCTCACCAAGGCCATCTGTGCCCCAGGATCCCTTCACTGGGTGCTCCTTGCTGCCAGCAGCCAGTCACGTGACCTTGGACAAGCCCTGGAACTCCGGGCCTCTGGTTCCTTATCTGTCAGCTGAGGCTAAGGAACTGTGTGGTCTCCAAGCTGCCTCCCAGGAACCACGTTCCAGAATGCTCCATTCCCCTTCCAGGCCAAGACAGCATGGAGAAGCCTGCCTCCCAGCCAGCAGACGCTTTTATCGCACACACTCTGGCCAGGAGTCATTTTTTGGCCGCAGCAGCAGAAATGGGTCTGGATGAAGGATTCTGGGCCTCCTAGACCTTAGGTTAGTGCTTTCTTCCTCTTGATCAAGGTAGGAACCAGAAGGTCTGTTCCCCCAGGTCCGCCCATCCAGCACTGCCCCCCCAGTCCCAGCCTCCCCTGTGCCTGAGATGCGGGAGATGGTTGTAAGTTCCGGATCTGGCTGGACGGCCTGCTGACTGAGAGACCTCAGGGGGCCATTGCCTCTCAGTTTCTCCATCTGTAAAATGGGGATGGTTATAAAACTCCCCTCCCAGGGCAAGGACCGCACGAGCTCATGTGTGTAGAGCACTCGGAGCCCACGCACAGCAAGGGCTGTACAAGTGTTGGGTGTCACTGTGGCTGTTGCACAGAAACCTACCCAACATAGAAAACCCCTTCCTTCCGGGACCTGGACAGGGACTGAGCTGCTCAGTTCTAGCTGAGGGAGCGTCTGCGACAGGATTAGGTGGCCAGAACCAGACCCATGCAGCACCGAGCAACCTTCAATCTCCCTTTGAAAGAGGACCCCCCGGAACCTCCCAGAAAAATGTCATTTTCCCCAATTGAAATGATTCCCATGTCACCACAGTCGGGAGCACAACTGGCTGAGATTTTCATTCACCGCAGACTCGGTCTCCACTTCCCTCGTCCCCGTCCCACTGGGGCAGATCAGGGTCACGTGGGACCACGTCACACGTGTCGGCACCCTGTGCGCGGGCTGCCCAGGACCGCGGGAGAAGTTGCGGCGGGAAGCTCCGAGCCCCTTCTGCGCCGCCAGCCCCCAGGGCGGCTCCGGCCGCTGCCCACCCGCTTGCCCTGCCGTTCCCAGCTTGCTGCCACTGGGGGCTGTTCCCGCCCTTCCTCCCCCGGCCTGGAGACCCGAAGCACCAATCTGCAGAGCCAGGAGGGACGCTGCCTCCATCCCTGATTTGGCCAGGCCCCGGGTCATCTCAGCAGAGGTGTGTGCTCCCCAGGGCTGCAGAAGGACCATTTTCCCAGTCACCTTTTGGCGAATGTCCACCCGAGAAGACAAACAGGCTGAGGATGCTTCAGAACGAGAAACGAGTGGAATTAAGAACATGAACAAATCCTCAGATGCTCAGTGAACGAAATGTGTTCTGCTCATCCACAGTGAGCCCTGTGTGCCTGAATAGAGGGCAACCCCAAATAACACGGTCCCCTGCTTCCCTAATGGGGCACAGCCAACACTTCCTTGGCCAGCTTAACAGGAACCAGAAATGGGGTTGCCTTGGAGGTAGGGGGTGGGACTGGACTGGAAAGGGGCCAGAGGGAACATTCTGGAATGAGAGACAGATTGTACCTTCACTGGATTGGTGGTGATGTGGGTGATTTCATTTGTCAGACTTCATCAAACTACACCCTAGAGATCTGTGCATGTTAGTGAATATAAATTTTACTTCAATAAAAGAAGTTAGAAACACGAATTAAATAATATTGACTTATAATATTTAACCTAACTATGCAGTTGCATACTTAAAATTATGTAAGAATAATATATTAATTTGCATGCTGTTTCCCATTCACACATCTCACAAAATGGCTCACACACATGTACATCCTTTGAGATCAGTATATATTGCAACGAAGCCACTTTTTAAAAAAAATTTAAGTGTTTATTTTTGGGAAAGAGAGAGTGCATGTGTGTGCATGAGCACGGGGAGGGGCAGAGAGAGAGAGGACGAGAGAATTCCAAGCGGGCTGTGTACCATCAGTACAGACCCCAGTGTGGGGCTCACACTCACAAACCATGAGATCATGACCTGAGCCCAAACCAAGAGTCGGATGCTTAACCAACTAAGCCACCCAGGTGTCCCTTAAAGACTTTATTTTTAAGTAATCTCTACACCCAACATGGGGCTCAGAACTCATGACCCCGAGATCAAGAGTTGCAGATTGCATGTTCTGCAGAGTGAGCCAGCCAGGTGCCCAGGAAATGCAGTACCTTTTAAATCCAAGATGCTCATTGAAATTTCATTGCAAAACGCAAAAGCTCATCTGCATAACATTGCAGCAGTTGTTCTCATTTGTCTTGTGATTATTCGTGATCCTCACTAGGTAAGGACCTGTGTTTTGCTTTCTAAAAGGAGCTTTAAAATAGTTGTCACAGTTTGCCAATCTGTGTTAAATCTCATTGCCTTCTTCTCATTAATTCCTTCTAGTGACCTCTAAAAACAGCCCAAACCAGCATTGATTGAGACTGAGTCGCTGATGTATCTTCCCAGATTCTGTGGTTCAAATAAAGTAATTGAGACAGTACCAGATAATAAGAGATTCTTAAAGAATAAGTCCTAAACTATGAGAGATTCGTCAAGGCAGCACTCTCTCTTCTATTAATTAATATGAGGAAATAGACCTTCATCTTATTTGTTTTCAGACACATATAGTAAATCCTGGCATATGTGTTTAGACCAAAGATAAAATTGAGATCAATGCAGCAAATTTGAGGGTCTTATTTTATAGTTTGTTATTAAAAGATTAGCACTGTTGGCTTAAATTAGAAGTTTCTTTATGTAAAAATTTTGAGTTTTGCTCCCTACCGTGAATGGGAAGTTGAAACATTCTTTTTTTCTTTTTTAATGTTTGAGTGGGGGAGGGGCAGGGCTAGAGGGAGAGAGAATCTCAAGCAGGCTCAGCTTGTCAGCACCAGAGCGCAACGTGGGGCTTAAACCCACAAACCATGAGGTCGTGACCTGAGCCAAAATCAAGAGCCGGGTGCTCAAACGACTGAGCCACCCAGGCGCCCCTGAAAAAACATTCTTGAATAAGTTCAAACACACTATATTTCCCTCAAGAGCATTAAAAATAAGAGTTTGATTTAAATAGATGTTCTGGTTGGAACAGTCCTCAATTATGGATTACTAATTACAAATTTCACAACTCGACCGTAAGTTGTGTCCAGTCTTCAGCGATCTGCAGGGTTATGTAATGACATATATAAAGAAGTCTTTGTTTTCTTCAACATATCCTCAATTTCCGCCTCAAAAATATGTTGTTCTTAAAGAAACCAACGTGGAAGACTTGCACTATTGTTTCAGTTCGTTGTTTTTAATGTCGCTGTCGCTCAGCACATTGCTCCTGCCGTCGGAAGGGGGAGCAGGGAACTCACCACAAGCTTACGGGCATCTAGGCTCCTGCGCGGCTCCACGTGGTAGCTGCCCAACCGTGTTGTTGTTGTTGTTGTTGTTGTTGTTTGCTTGGTAGCAGAACTCTGGCTTTAAATGACATTATAGGTGGCTGATACCCTAGTTGGAGCAGAGAATGGGGCCCAGAGAAGCTCTGCTGGATGCCTCTTCTCCTCTCTAGGGGATGACTGAGGGGGTTTTATAGCACCCTCGGTGTTCCCTGGAACACAGTTTGAAAATCTCTGGCAGTGGACCATGCGTGAAGGCTTGGTCTTAGAAGACCTGGGCTCAAACCTAGCTTCTAGACTGTGGTTGTTGGCAAGGACGTACTGGAGCCTCATTCTCCTCCTGCAGACAAAGGGCATGAACACTCGTCTCCAAGACTAGCTACCAGGATGCGCATAATGTGCTTCGGGAGCATGAAGTATAAGGTTTATTTTGTTCCTTAAGTCTTGCCGTCTCCTAGTCCCATTTCATTTGCATGGTGCGCGCCGTCTCATCTCCGGCATTTCAGGACAGGATTCTCTGGTTCATGCTACTACTTCTGCCCCTTAGCTCTGCGGCCACGTTGTCCTCTGGAGAACGGTCGAGGGGGAAGACCTGACCTGGCAATAAGGGATTCCAGGCTCATAATTCATCCTTGGGATGGACCCCTGTAACTGATTTCTTTTCACTTTCAGGTGGGCCAAGAGAAGGGAAACTGTTCTTTCACAAAAAACCCAACCCCCTGCGTCATCCCTCAAGAGCAAGAAAATATCTTCCATACGATATTTGCCTTTTTCACAAAGTCTGGAAGAAAAGTCTTGGTAAGAATTTGTTCACTGGTTGGGTTCGCATGGGTGGTCCTCACTAGGAAGGCGAGCGTGAGATAGCGAGGCTAGTTTTCTGTTTGGCATTTCTTATTTCCCAGATCTGGTTTTAATCAATTGACGTCTAAAGTCGCAATGACTGTGGTCAACTGCTATTTTTCAGCCTGAGGTTTCAATCAAAGTGTTAGATTTACATTCCAAATTCCATTGCCTGGCAAAGGGAAAATCTTTGCAACCCACCAAGCACGGAGGAAAACATCTCTCCAGCTAGGATGACCAAGAATGATGGCTGTACAGCCACTTGGGGAAACTCCTGGGCAGCCTCCTCTAAAACTAAACCTCTCTGTATCCTGCGGCCCGGTGCTTCCACTCTGAGGTGTTCCCCCAAGAGAAATGAGTATTGATGGCCCCTAAAGACATGGTAGAGAAGGTTTACAGCAATCTTCTTAGAGCTAAAAGCTGGGAACAGTCCATCGACAGGAGAATGGGTAAACCATTGAGGTGTAGCCACACACGCGGGAATATTACAGAGCCATGAAAAATACTGCCCCGTGCAGCAACGTGAATGAATTTCACAGACATAATAATGCCTGAAAGAAGCTGGAGCCAGAGCACACACAGTGTCATATTTCACTTATATGAAGTTCGGAAAGAGCAAGACTAGCAATAGTCATGGAGGTCAGTCAGGACAGTGGCTGCCTTTGAAGGGATATCACCAGGAGAGGGCACGAAGGAGCTTGCTTGAGTGCCAGAATTATTCTACACCTTGATCTGGGTATAAACATGAAAACCACATCACGATGTATTCCATCTACTATTTGTAAATTATAACTCCATTTTTTTTTTTAAGTGAAGGTATTTCACTTAAAGGGAAGTTGTGTGCTTTCCTAAAACCTTCTTTCCCCATGTATTTGGTTAGATCTCTTTAGCTCCTTATTTCAGGATGGGCACATCTCACTTTTCTTTCTCTTTTTTCCTAAAAAAAAAAAAAAATAGGACCAAACGATTGCCACTTGCAGTATGGGTTGTTTTGGTTTTTTGTTGTTTTGTTTTGTTTTTAACCCACCTAATGCTGATGATACAACTATTTTGAAAAGCCCTTAGAGTTATTAGGTACAGTGATACGCAGTTGTGTGACAGACACAAGTCTGTATGTGGCTGACAGTTTTACCCCACCTGTGAAACGTCATGCGTGTCCCTATGCACATTTTGGATTTTTCCATATAAAAGAGAAGAATTCCTCTCTTGTAACTTAAACTTGGAATTTAGCCTTCTACTGGTGATTCACGTACTTTCTTAGTAAAATGTGCTTTTCTTTCCTCCTGTGTTTTCTGGAGTCGCATGACTTCTTAGCCCTCTCATCTGCTCTACCTGGGAAAGGGGCAGGAAAGTGTGCTTGCCACTGCGCAGGCAGAAATGACATCATGTAGGAAATGCATCCTGTGTTCAGAACTCCTAAGAAGAATGCTTTTGGAATATGTAAATGTGTTTCTTTTTGAAAACAGTGACCTATCCGTGTGAAATACATGGTATTGGTAGTGTAAACCAGTAGTGGGTGGGCCTTTTCCCGTTGAAGTTTCCCATTCCCTTGACGTGAAAGCGCGTTCTGGCACGTTCTGGGGCAGGAAACCCCTCCATTGCCCTCTGGTGGCCGGAAGGAGTGATTGCAATCTGCCTGTGGAATTCCTCTGCCTGGGGTTGTTTTAGTCTCCAGTCTCCTCCATAAACTGCTGTGCATTTGTCTCTGTTCTTAATACCATTTGAAAGTTCTCTGATTTTTCTTCTCAGGACTGTGAAAAACCAGGAATTTCTTGCCTAACAATGCACTGTAACCTCAGCGCGCTTGCTAAAGAAGAAAGTCGTACCATAGACATCTACATGCTGCTGAACACAGAAATACTGAAGAAGGTAATACTCTGCCGGTTCATGTAAAAGCATTGGACACTGTGTACGCTGTCTGTTAGCTAACTCAACAATCCATTATATTTTTAAAAAAGAAAACAGTTTTATTTAGCCACGAAAAAAGAAACAAGAAGAAAAGCATCGGAGTAAGTTTTCTCATGAAACACTGCCTGCCCCTTTTAAAACTCTTCCGGCCAGTGATGCTGGGGGGCGGGGCGGGGGGGGGGACATTGGACACTCGCTGTTCCAAGTGCGCCTGAGGAGCAAGGGGACCAGCAGCGCGCGGGAGCTTGTTAGAAACGTGGGATTTAAAAAGGAAAACACCTGCAGAATCTTGGGCTCCACCCCAGACCTCCTGAATCAGCGTCTTCAGTTTAACAAGGTCACCAGGTGTTTGTTTGCACATTTAAGTTTCTCCGACCTCAGCCTGCATCTGAATCACCTGGAGACCTGTTGAAATGCAAATCCCTGGGGGCTGAGTCTAGATTCTGTAGCTCTGAGTTCCCAGGTGACCCCACTACCACCGCTGCACCGACCCGTGCTGGATCCGGGGTCGGCAGACCTTGTCTGTGAAGGGCTAGTAGACGGTACTCAAATGAGTGGGCGTGGCTGTGTTCCAATAAAACTTTATTTACAAAGACAGGCAAAGGGCCCGACTTGACCCATGGGTGGTAGTTTGCCAATCCTTTGTTTAGAGGACAGTTTATTTCAGGGAAGTCCAACTTTTGATCTTCAGGTCCCTTTGCTTTTATGAGTTTATCAAAAGTGGTTCATTTTAAAATACCTCAGTCAGTAAATTAGTGGTTCTTTAAAAATGTCATACAAATTCACTGTGATATATTTTAACGTAAGAGCTGCTGAGTAGGAAAGGCCATATCCAACAACCTGCTTTAAAAAGAATCACTTGGGAAGATAAAATAAAATAAGCGTGTTAGCAACCGAGATTCTATTTATTTTCCCCTGGAAAAACTGAATGTGTTAGTCAGTATAAACCTGAATGAATATCTTTAGAAAAGTCATTCCGATGTTAGTTTTAAGTTAGGCATGACGGTAGCATGCCGACCTGAGAAGTCAGCGGCACGAGGGATACAAGACGTTTCGCCCACGGTTCCGTCTGTGAGTGGTGCAGCCCCACCCCCACCCCCAGGGAGAGCTGTGCACAACTCTCTTTTCCCTGGTCTCCTTGCAGGGAAACTAGTTTGGGGCAAGTTTGGGGCACTCACCGCAGTATTTTCTGTTGCACCTCTCCCTTGAAAAAGGACCCTGTTGGGGGAGGGGGAGGGGGCAGCGCCTGGGCAGCTCAGTCGGTTAAGGGACCAACTCTTGGTTTCGGCTCAGGTCATGATCCCATGGTTCAGTTCGTGAGTTCAAGCCCCACATCAGGCTCTGCGCTGTCCGCAAGAAGCCTGCTTGGGATTCTCTCTCCCTCAATCTCTGCCCCTCCCCCACTCACTCTCTCAAAATAAATTAAAAAAAAAAAGAGTTGGGAGAGGACGAGGCGTGAGCTAGAATCCCAGTGGCCATCCTGTGACTCCGGAAGGGAGTCTAGAAGCCCCACGTTGCAGGAAGTGCCTTCCCGACATGGGTCCCCTGGGTCAGGCTGAAAGACGAGGGTTACCTGTCCTGTTCATCTTCTTGACAAATGGCCCTGGTGGCAGGTTTACGCCCCAGGCCACACTCATCACCGTCAGCAAAGCCCCGATCTGGGCACTGACAGCGGGAGGGAAGCCATTCTGATCTGTCCTTCACCCCCAACCCCGAGGAGTGCTGCTCGCCCTCTGTCGTTGGCCTACAGCTCGGTGGCCTGGCCCCTGCATGCTTCTTCCGGTCAGTGACCAGTGGTGACCCTTTGCCAAGGAGCACGTCCCACTGACGGCTGTTCCCGAGGGCCATCCAGTCCCGTCTGCGCCCTAAGAGACAGCTGTGGGGCGTCATGTGTGTATTGTCCCTGGAAGTGCCCTTTCGGCAGAAACCAGACATTTCAGGTGCAGAGGGAAGCCTAGAATGAGGCTGACCCGGAACCAGATGGGGCCCCAGCTGCTCCCAGAGCTTGACGTGCAGAGTGTCAGGCCCCGAGCCAGCCTTGACCTCCCGCGGGGAGTGAGCGAGCTGCCCCGAGCCCTCGGGCTCCCGAAGGGAGTGGCGCTGCTCCAGCCCTGCGGTTTGCTGGGTCTCCAGTGGTGGTTATTTTCCTTTGACCTCAAGGTCCAGCCCCAGACAAGGGAATTTGAGGTTTTATTGTTTGGATCTTAACAAGTTTTCATCTGAAATGCAGGGTCTGACTTTTTACATTATCAGAGGATTCAGATTTCTCTGAGAGTGTTCCTCTCCCACCCCGGGGGCCTGTCCTGGGGCCGGGCTGCTCACCTGCTCCACCTTTAACTCTGACAGTCCCCATCACCCTTGTGCTCAGACTATGAACATCGAAGGTGATGATCATCCACAACTGCGAACACAGTCTATCCCGCACATAAAACCACAAATTTACAAAACTGTGACATTGGTAAAAGGTGGTTTGCACACAGAATTATTTACCGCTGGGTGAGAGCTCACGGGAGCCGTGCATTTGAGTGACAAGCCTCCCAGAAGCATTACAAATTGGTTTCATTGCTGTTTGAAAAAAGAACAATAATTAGTGCATAACTCCCAGGTAAGGTGTGCAAAGTGGGGTCCCGTGCGCCCTCCCTGGAAGGTGTCTGGTTTCTCTGGCAGAGACGAGCAGGGGAGCTGTTGTCTAAGGGAGGTGTCCTCCGCTTTCACTCTTGGGGGGGAGGTTGTTCCAGAAGTGGGTCAAAGCTGGCAGCTGACACGTACCTCCTTGTGTGGCGGGCGGGCGGACAGGAAGTGTGGGTGGGCGTGCAGAGCCCCGGCCACCCCACGGCTGAGCCGCCCAGTGTCCCCCGGCCGCCTGTCCTCTTCCGCATCGGGAGCCCGGCTGCTCCTCCGCCCACAGTCCAGGCACCACCATCTGTACCCCTGGCTTGGGTTCTGACCCTTCCCTGAGCCATAGTCTTGCCCTGTCTTTTTCCAGATCCCTCCTCCATCCCTGCCTGGAGGCCATTTTCTCATCCTGGGGACCTGAGCCCCGAGGCCTCTGACCGCATCTGGCTGGTGGGTTCTTCCCAAGTCTTAGATGTGCCCGCGCCCACCCTGGTCTCCTTGCCCCTCAAGCCACAGCCAGATGTTTCCCCTGCTCATCACTCCATCCAGTACCCTCCCTCCATGTTAAATGATTGTGACCCCCAGACAGCCTCATTTAAGGGTAAAGAAAGAGTTAAACGTAACTCGTGGGAAGGGTTTGAGGGCTGTGGTCAGAGCAGGAAGATGCTTGAGAAATAGAAATCAGATGCCTTCCACGGAATGCCCGGCCTGGATTTGTGGTGCACAGTTAAACAGCTTTATTTATTTTCTCCTCTTTGTGAATATGTCAGTATCCATATCCAAATATCTGGCCCTTCCACTTGGAAACCACAGCACACAAGCTTGCCTGTATTGATGATTGGCAAAACCTCAGCTTTTCAGCATCCACCAGAGTATGAAGGAATTCTCAAGAGACAGACTGGAAACCTCTGTTTACGTGGGTGCCTGAAGTGGGGGGGGTGGGGAGAGGTCTAGTTCAGGGATAAAAGTTTTGTCTGGCCCACGTGGAATCTTGGAATTCAGTTCTACCTGCTACCTTGAGGCCCAGCCATTGTCACTGAAAAAAACTCTGTCACTGAGTAGTGTTGTTTCCTCCACAGGACAGTTCATCTGTCATCCAGTTCATGACCCGTGCCAAGGTCAAGGTGGACGCTGCCCTGAGGGTGGTGGAGATAGCCAGTGGGAACCCAGAAGAGATGACGGTGAGTCAGCCAGCCCAAGGACAGCCCTTTTCTGAGGGTGAGGGAGTCTGGGTGGCTTGGTGCTGGAGTTTCAGGGTAAAAACGGTCTGTGAGCCAAGATGGTGGCTCTGCGGTGGACCCAAGACCAGGCCTGCCTTGGCTCCAGGCCCCCGTGGACAGCTTCTGTGGTCTGCTCTTGCGATGGCGTCGTTCTCTACCGCGCTCTTACTGTGTGAAGGCTCTCTGCTACGACCGGCCAAACAAAAACCGTCTGAGGTACCCTTGACAGGGCTTGGATTTCCACGCTGAAAGCCAAGACTATTTTTATCTTTCTCAGACCTTTCCCTGAAACCTCAGCTGCCTCCCATCACGTTGTTCCATGGATAAACACTAGGCATCTTAAAAACAAGTGGTTTGAGTAACTTTAAGGAGGTCACATCCAAATTTCCAAACCCTACAACCTTCTTTCACTCTCTGCCCCTTGTCCTGTGTAAAGGGCAGGGGGCGCAGGCTTCAGAGACCCCGGAGGGCGCGGATGTGGGGGTGTGGGCGGGGCTGGAGGGAAGTGTGGCCTTGGGATTGTGCTGCCTTGCCTGGCTTTCAGGGGACGGGAGGGGAGGCACATTCCTGACACCCACGCTCAGATCCCAGGCCGGTGGGAAGGGTCGAGACAGCAGCCTGTGAACGGGTTTTGCCACCGAGCTAGGCAGCAACAGACACCACCTTTCTGATGTCCTTCCCTGGAATTCACCTCCTCTCAAGGGGCTCTTGGAAGAGTCGTGTTGCTGTGACAAATTTTCAGATGTGATAAAGTCCTAGAGACTACGCACCTACGAAGGAAAGGCTGTTGACTTATCTTCCAACAGTAATGGAAGCACCACGTGTCTAAATGTTAGCATGTGCATCTGACCAAAGCCCACTCTTATAAGACCCTGAAAAAAATAAGTCTCTGGGGACTGGAACGAAATCTCGGTCCTGCTCCTGTGTGGGGTGAACCAGCGCCGAGGGCATCAGCTCCTGCCGAGCGAAGGTGAACCCGGGAATGGAGGGGGGGAGGATTGTTATGGGGCTTGCACTGTCCATGCTCCGTGCGGAGAAGGAGCTTGACTCCTCTGTTCACTCTGAGAAACTGTCCAGGCACTAATTATAATAATAGAAACCAAGAAGGATGACTTGGAATAGCATTGGCTTCTGTCACCCTCTAGGGTGAGTTTTTCTGGCGGGTCAGGCACTGGGAGCTGGCTTTTGCCTTCTCCTCCCTGCCTTTTGGCCATTGCACTGCTAATTCAGACCCTTGCCTGAGAAGTGAAGGAGACCTTGATTCGCCGCTCGTTGTCATAGGTCTGGTTAAAAAGTTTTATTGAATGAAAGACGCACCCAACACGTGAGGTTTGGAATGTTTGGGTGGACCGCGGTGTCCCCAGTTAAGAGCGAAGGGGTGTAATTTAGTGGGTTTTCTGCAAGTGGAATCCTTTGTGTAGGTGAAAAAAAAAATCACCTGGGCTCATGGCCTGCGGTGAGAGCACTGAGCTGGGGGACCCAGGAAGACGTTGCCTAGTGCCCCATTGGTGGCTTCCAAGTCATCTGGACGCCCCCAATACCACTTCCATTAATTACTGTTCTATTTTTTAATGTTTTATTTATTTATGAGAGAGAGAGAGAGAGACAGCATGAGCAGGGGAGGGTCAGAGAGAGAGGGAGACACAGAATCTGAAGCAGCTACAGGCTCTGAGCTTTTAGCACAGAGCCCGACTCGGGGCTCGAACCCACGAACCGTAAGATCATGACCTGAGCAGAAGTCGGATGCTTACCCGACTGAGCCACCCAGGTATCCCAATTACTGTTCCATTTTGAACACTATGGTGATATTTTCATTATCAAGAGTTCTTTGGAAGAAGCTCTCATTTCCCCTGATTTTTCTTTAGTGCTCACCCATCAGAATCCCACATGTCCCCTCTCTCTCCTTTCCAGGACTTTGCCTTTTCAACCCATGAGCTAAGATGAAGTCCTCCAGTCTGGTCTCAACTTTCCTGGCAGGAAAAAAATCTTTTCTGAGTAGGAAGGTTTACTTTTTTAGAACAAACACGTTCTTCCCTGCGTGAGTCTTCTGAATGCCTGGCTCTCTGTCAGCCATCTCTTTGAGGGGAAATTTCCATGGAGGCGAGCCACCAAATTTAAACTGGGCACAGTTTCACAAGATTTTAGATGAGGTACCAAATTTTGATGGCTTTGGAATGAACGGGAAGTGTTCTTGCAGCCGGCAAGGAGAGGGCGTGGGTGAGAAGAGGAAGCAGTCCGATCTGGACCCACACAGGGCATCCTCAGCGGTACATGGCACCGACAGGCAAATCTAGTGGTTTTCCTGGGACTCCTTGGAGCTTTTGTTTTTATGCTATGGTCTGAGTGCTTTATAAAGCATTTGAGTGAATAACTAGAGATAAGTGATCGATTTCTGAATGATTATTAATAAATAGACCTGGAGGGCACTTTCTAGAGGGGCAACCTCTTGGACAACTCAGGACCAGCCCCACCAAACCCCCCTGTAACAGATCCAAACCTGAGCTCTCCCGGTGAGATTTGTCGCTTCATAGCCTGTGCCGGTTTCCAGGTGCCAGTAGTGTGCTAGACTTGCTATTCTATGCTGAAGTTAACTTTTATTTATTTTTGAAAGAGAGAGCGTGCGAATGACAGTGCACAAGCGAGGGAGGGACACAGAGAGAGGGAGACAGAATCCCAAGCAGGTTGCACCCTGTCAGCACAGAGCCCAGTGCGGGGCTCAAACTCACAAATCGTGAGATCATGACCTGGGCAGAAATCAGGAGTCAGATGCTTAATCTACTGAACCACTCAGGCGCCCCAACCCGGCCCTTCTTGCTTTTCAGGGAGATTTGCCAACAACTAAGGCTAGGGACTCCCCCAGGGCAACCCAAGAATCTGGAGACTTGGCTTTGCTACTGCGAGCCACCACCACCCCCGACCCCCTTCTGAGGCGGGAGGAGAAGCTTGTGTGAATGATGCAGCAAACCTATCTTCTTGATGTTTTGCAATCGCAGAAAATAAGACCCACACACAAATCCATAGATGAGTAGGTCATTGCCATGGGGAGAGTATATGGCGCTAAGATCTTAGGAGCAATGGGGAAGGACTGATTCTCTTCTTGGCAGAGTTGGAATGGGTTCGAAGCATATCAGGTAGCCCCCCCTCCCCCCCACGCCCCCCCACCCCCGCGGTGGCAGGAAGCCCGGAGAGCCAGGCTGATGGGGGAGAAGAGTCCAGAAGCCTGAGGAGCCTGGAGCACAGGCTCAGTCAGGCACAGAAGAGCAGGCATGTGCCCTGGACACAGCTGTCCCTGGCTTCTCTCAGCCTCTTGCTCTGAAGTTGGTGGGGGAGCGTCTCACTGGCTGAGGTTAGGACCCTGTCACTGGGAGGCCACACCCCAGGGGAAGCAGCCCGCTGCGCTGGCCTCTCTGCATCACCACTGCCCTGAGGCTCACACAGAGGAGGATTCCCAGCTCTAGAGAGCGGGGGCGGGGGAGGAGGATCACTCCGGGCGCTGCTAAAAGGTGACGCGCGTCCCCTCCCACAGGCTTCTCTCACCCTGAGGATCAGCCCCAAGAAGCGCCCATCCCGCCAAGGTCTTTGTTCAGTCACTTAGAGCATTCTGTGGGCGGTAACCCCCCTGGGTCATCTGCAGACTTAACGAGAGAATGTGAATATCTTTGTCCAAAGAGGGTTGAGGAGTATTTGCATTTTTTTGCCTTTTTTACTTTTTTATTTTTTTAAGAAATAGCATAGCTTGAGTGAGTGACACTTCCTTGCTCATTTGACAGGGCAGGTGTTCGGGGCGCATACCTTCTGCCACGGTGCATGGGAACCATACAGCCACACTGGCGGTCGCCTCCCTCAGGCAGCCCACAGGATTTCCCCACATCCTCCCTGGGTTAGAACCACTAAGGTCCTGCCTCTGGCGAGCAACGGGCCTCCTCGCTGGGGAGGAAGAATGGCTTGCCCAGCATCTCACAGTGCCTGACGCGAGCCCACTGCCTCCCCGCGGCAGCCAGCCAGGCCCAGGGGAAGGCGCTGAGCCGGTGTGTGCGCAAGGGCCTGGGCGAACGCAGTCCCAGCGTGGAAGGAAAGCGTTGGCTTGTTTTAAAGTATCTCCCAGGTTAAAACCGCCCAGGTGGCCTTGAGCCCAGCCTGCTCCTTCAGACTGGGCCTGGCTGTCCTCACCCCGGAGGGGCCCTCGCCTCTCGTTCTAATCAGACCCAGAAGGAAGGCTCAGGGCGGCAGCCACACTCTCGCTTCTAAAGAAACCTGCCCAGCCAAGGGCTCACGGAGCAGGGCAGTGAGTCCAGAGTTCATCTTCTCTGAAGCCATTTCCGTTCAGTTCCCAAGCTCGGCCCTTTCGAGGAGTCGGTCCTCTGTGAATGCAGAGCACTGCGTCTCCGCCTCGGGAGTCAGAAAAGCCCGGGTTCGAATCCATCTCCCTCCCATCCCCGCTGTGTGACTTCAGGGATCAGGCAGGCTCTGCAAGCCCGTTTCCTCGTCCATAACACGGGAAAGCTGCTCTCGCCGCCCTAGGGACTCCCTCCTTTGTTCTGCAAACTCCCATCCCCCGACCGAAGACACCAGCCAGGGTGTCTCAACCAGACGGGCATCACCCACCATGGGACACAGCGATGAGTCTAGAAGATGCCGCTTTTTCCCTTTGTCATGCTGCTTCCTGGTGCGAGCTTTACAGTTTTTACAGCGTGCCTTGTACTTTACCATTTATGCGGCCGGGTGCACAAAATGAGGTTCCACGAGGCACAAGAGTTTTCCCCCATGAACCCCAAGCTACACTGAGATGTAGGCTGCAGAAGAGGGTCCTCGGAGGGTCACCACCATCCCCATCCCACACCCTCATCCAAAGATGGTGGGCGTCCTACTCCACACCCACCAGCCCACAAGTGAGAATTAAGTTGTGACCATCAGGAATTGAGAAGGATCCCAGCAAAGTTTGCCCACATCAGAGTCGCAGT